TTGTGTGGAGGCAGGAATCCTAGAAAATGTACAAGAAAGATTTGTTGAAAAATCAAGAATATTTTTGCACATTAAAAAGGAAAATGATCTATATTTCATTTATATGTGATATTAGGAATAAGTAATTCAAAATTTAATGGTAACTTCTTCTGCAGTTTCGAGTTTAACTAACTAATACATGTTCTCACCATTCCAGTTTCGTTCTAGGACAGAGATTAATACATCCAGCAAAAACACAAAGCAGTTGGAAATGGAAAAAGTCAATTTAAAAATCAATCCTCCCTGATTTTTTCTATTGACTCCTCTTAGAAATAACACTCAGAATTTTTATGACTGAAATGGATCATTTAAAAATCTCCATGTGTTCAATTATTTATTTTATGCTTTTGAAAACACTTTTGGATAATGGGTTTCACTTTTTCACCTTTCATATATCTCTTTCTTTCATGCAGAAAAATAGAAACCAATGAAAAATGGAAGATGATAGCAGTTTGCTTTTTTTCATACCTGTGCTTATGAGTTGGTACTGTTCTCATAGATACACATGACGGTTTTATAGCGGAAGTAAACATAATGCACCATAAGAGGCAATTTTTAACAGACTGATTTCTGTACAGAACTAAACACTTGTATAACAAGAGGGCTTTGTGGAGATTTAAGCAAGGAAGTTGGGGTATTTTTTTCATCAGATTTTGGAAACCAAAGTATAGTAGTGAAGGTTTTGGAGCATTAAAACTATGATGGAATCAACTGTAATAGTAAATGAAATTGTAATTGGTCCCTAAATCCCAACGTACATCGCTTTCATGTGGCCATGTTAGAGATGTAGGATGTGAATGAGCAAAGAAATAGGTGGTAAGAGTACTCTTGGTGATACTGTGCAAAAGGAGAAAGGAAATATAGACCATGGCTCTTGATCTGTTGCACTTACTAGGCTCTGTTGAACCTCTGTGGAAAAGCATGACCACTAACCTGAAAGGGGCCTACTTGCTATTTGGCATGGAGATAGGTATCAAAGTGACTCTAATGGTGTGGCAAGCATTCACCAAAGAATGGCAAAATAGCATGAAGACTGGTCAAATAACACAAAAGGTAAGACGTGTTAAAAAATTCAGGAAAGGGCTGCTCAGTTATAGTGGATAAAAGGAGCCTTTAGACACCTATTCAAATACTGTGCCTGTCTGGAGGTCTTTCTGTTATGCTTTGTTTTGTAAGCATGTTAAGCTCTGACGCAGGGAGTTCTAGTGGGGCATTGGAGGACAAAGTCATGAAGTCTCCAGTCTTTTTGCTCATTCTGCTACCACTGTTGACTCTCAGGATTTGTCAAGAGAGTGGGGGATATATTCAGTTCAGTGGTAGATCCATTCTAAGGTAAACCCTCTTTTCATGCCATGATATGGGGTGGGGGGAGGGAGGGGGAGGGTACCTGGATGGCATATCAGTATGATTTCCATTGAAAACACTTGATTGAACCCTTCTTCTGATACACACTCATATATTTTCCCATTAAAAGGCTATGTTGCTAGTGAAGAGGTTTACTCTTACTAATATTTTAGCATTTTATTAGTAATCAGATATGAGATGATTGAATTCTTAACAACTGTTGCAGTAGCCATCTGTCCTTGTTAGTTGCCAAAGGGTTTGTCTCAATAAGCATTTTTTTACATTCCATGCTACATGTTTGGGTTTTTTTTCTACAACTTTGCAATTTTCTGCACACCCTTTTTCCTCATGGAGAATCTGGGGAATATTTTATACAGTGGAACTCCTCCTGTCTAGACTTAAGAGCTGTATTGTTTAGAAGCTTTGATTTTACAGTCTTTTAAAAGAGTTTTTCAAAGCTTAGACCAAATTAGAAAAAAAGCAAAAGCTCTGCAAGCTAAAGAAAAGGGTTCATGGAAATCTAGATAGTCACAAAAGACGTGATGAGGTCTCCTTTTGCATTATTGATTTGGCATACGTGGTTGTTGAGTCAATATAGGGCTTCTTTCCAAAATTTTGAAATCATAACTTAGCATTCTGCCATCTGGACTAGCAGTCAGTCTTGACTGAGTGTACTGAGAATAACACTCAATGAACTAGAACTTGAACTAGAACTAGATTAATTACAATTGCTCAGTGATGAGTGAGAGCAGTGAAATGACTTCAGTTTAAAACTTTTTCATTACTTTTCTAAATTCATGTTTTTTTAACATGTAATTTTTGTATGTCTGAAACACCTGGAATCTAGTGAGGAAATAATGGAAGTGCTGCAGGGACATCTCATTATCGAAAGATTTTGAAGGAAAAAATAATGATACAGTAGAAAATAAAGGATATAATATAATAGATGAGAGTGACAAGCCAGGCCACGGCTGGAGGGAGGCTGAAAACAGTAGTATTACGGGCACAAGCTATGGTTAATGAGAGGGCATGGTTACGATTTGCTAGTTCAATTTCTGCTGCAGAGTTTTTTTGAAGGCTTCAGACACTTTGAGCTAAACTTTGAAAAAGTTCCTCTTTACTGTGTCAGAGTATTCTGCTTGTGGGAAATAGGACTCAAACAGGAATCATGAGAGACAGCATATTTATTGGGGAGAGACCCCTTATCAATCGAGAAAAGGGATTTGTTTTGAATCTAGCACTTTTGTAAAACTCAGTACCTTCCTGTCTAGGTATTTGCCATTCTAATCTGTGAAGATGTTAGTTTGGGCTGTCAGAAGGTTCTTCATATTAGATGTCACAGGCCTAAATCTTTTGTGTTGGGCAGTGTAATCACTTTCTTCTAAAATGTAGTCTATGGGGCGGAGTCTAGTTGGAGGCCTGTATCTAGTGGAGTGCCTCAAGGGTCGGTACTGGGACCAGTATTATTTAATATATTCATTAACGATTTAGATGAGGGAATTGAGTGTACTATCAGCAAGTTTGCTGATGACACTAAGCTGGGAGGGGTGGCCGACACGCCAGAAGGCTGTGCTGCCATCCAGAGGGACCTGGACAGGCTGGAGAGCTGGGCGGGGAATAACTTGATGAAATATAACAAGGGAAAGTGTAGAGTCCTGCATCTGGGCAGGAACAACCCCAGGTTCCAGTATAGGCTGGGGAACGACCTGTTAGAGAGCAGTGTAGGGGAGAGGGACCTGGGGGTCCTGGTGGACGACAGGGTGACCATGAGCCGACACTGTGCCCTTGTGGCCAAGAAGGCCAATGGCATCCTGGGGTGTATTAGAAGGGGGGTGGTTAGTAGGTCGAGAGAGGTCCTCCTTCCCCTCTACTCTGCCCTGGTGAGACCTCATCTGGAATATTGTGTCCAGTTCTGGGGCCCTCAGTTTAAAAAGGACAGGGACCTGCTGGAGAGAGTCCAGCGCAGGGCAACTAAGATGATTAAGGGAGTGGAGCATCTCCCTTATGAGGAAAGACTGAGGGAGCTGGGTCTCTACAGTTTGGAGAAGAGGAGATTGAGGGGTGACCTTATTAGTGTATATAAATATATAAAGGGGGAGTGTCACGAGGATGGAGCCAGGCTCTTCTCAGTGGCAAACAATGGAAGGACAAGGGGTAATGGATACAAATTGGAGCACAAGAGGTTCCACTTAAACCTGAGAAGAAACTTCTTCTCAGTGAGGGTGACGGAACACTGGAACAGGCTGCCCAGGGAGGTTGTGGAATCTCCTTCTTTGGAGACATTCAAGACCCGCCTGGACACGTTCCTGTGTAACCTTATCTAGGTGTTCCTGCTCCGGCAGGGGGATTGGACTAGATGATCTTTTGAGGTCCCTTCCAATCTCTAACCTACTGTGATACTGTGATACTGTGATACTGTGAAAATACGAGGAAGGATCCTTTAATGAAGTCTCTTTTTCCTGTCTTTCCTACTTTCATGATTAGTTTAAGCAGTCATTCCTTGCTTATCAGATTAAGGCAAGGATATACAAGGTTATAAGAAATGGCAAGGATAAACATATGTATTCGCACTAGGTTTCAAATCAGAGAGCTGCGATAATGACGGGTGATGCGATAAATGCGCTAGAGACCAGATGTTCTGGCTAGGCAAGAGACACAACCTTCTTCTGAGAATGGACTGCACTAGAATAAACTCATGCCATGGTTCCTTTCTTGCTACAGAATGTGACATGGCACAAAAACATGAAACCTGTATTGGATCCAACCCTTTTCCAAAGAGTCAGGTTTACTGGGCACAGCAGCAAATCACTGCCTGTTCTCTGGTGAAAAACAGTAACCACAAACATGTGCGTTGCCAAAACACCTCGTGCCATGTATGCTGGCTGCTACCTGTGCCCTCCACTCCTTCCTTGAAGGGTCTGGAGAGGGGCTATAAACCAGAAGATTTATTCTGATGTACCAGCCTGTTCCCAGTTGCTGTTTTTCTCTATACTATCTGTTGGGAGGGGCACTGCAGGTCGTTTAGGAAAGGCATTGTTGGGAGTGAGCTGCAAGTCAGGCATGTTACCCTGGCAGGAAACAAACGAGCTCTGTCCAGTGATCCTTGCTACAGCTACTAATAGGTACAATGATATGTTTGATTTACAGCTGGCTTAGTGTGGTGGCCACCACAGAATATTGTACGGAATAATCAGGTCATCAAGGCTGGATAGGGGCTGTATTAAAAAAAGAAATAAGGTACATTAGGCTCCATCACATTTGGAAGCAGACCTTGGTACTTGTCAACAAGAGGCAGCTACATTGTAATACTTGATGGTTAAGACAATGTCTGGCCTGGAGAGCACCAGGCAAGCTCCAGCTGATGAGAAGTAAAATAAACAAAAAAGGGAGGGGCTTAGATTTGAGTGAGCTAAACAGAACATCACCCAGGTGTAGCTTGAATATTTTGATTAATTCCAAGCTTATTCTTTGTTAACAAAGTCAAGCCCTGTCCATTCTGTATTCAATTTTATCAACATATTCTGATTTTTTACCTTTTTCTTGTGCTATAATCATATGCAAGTTCCATTTGCCAGTGATCTGATTGGATGTCTTTCTTTTCTTTTTGGATTCTATAGGATAAAATCATGGGTAGATAAGATGCAAGAAGATCTCGTAACATTAGCACGAACTGCAAGCGGAGTGGACCAGCTTGCTGCGGTAAGAAGATGCCTCTTCAGCTGCAATAACTAGGATGTGAAGTGAATGTTATCCATCATCTAGACACTACAATAATTTCATCCAATGTAGTAAAATGATTTTGGGGAGTCAAACTGCAGTGTTTACTGAGAGAGAGATGAATAACACTGACATCTCTCAATTCACTCAATGTTGCAGGATTTGCTCATTGCTAATATTTAACCAGCTTACCATTGTTGCTACCCTTCCACCTGAAGCAAGTGCTTTTATGTGATATATTTGTCAAATACGGTATCCAGGAAGCAACCATTCACTCCAGTGGAAAATTCTTCTCTCTGTTAACAAGGGAGACTATTTTTCTGACACATATTTCCTGAAATGAGGCACTTGTTGTTTAAAAGGGATGTAAATGAGAATGAAAACTACTTTTATTCAGCTGTTCAAATTTAAACCGAAGTGTGTTTTAGGGAAGATTTTACAGTACTTCTGTCATTAAAAAACCCTTTTATGCTATATTCCATTCATAGAAGGTAAAAACACACCTGCATGTATATGAGGAACATAGAGCATAATACTGCTGAGGTTTTCTCATGTAATCTTTTACTGTTACTCCTCCCCTTACAGTCCTTTTTATCTCTGTATTCTTTTCCTGCTATTTTCCAGTCTGTTATTTCTTGCTTATATATCCCAATCTCTTGCCCTTTATTCTTCATTCAGTTTTCATCTCCTTTTTCCCCCACTGCTTAGACCGTAAGGGTGAGAGATCACAGCAAGCCTGAGCTTCAGCTGCAGAGGAGGTGTGACATTCTCTAGGAGTGATGTTGCTGGTTTGGAATACTCCTGTGTGTGGATTTAGCTGATAAGATCTCTGCAGTGGCCTGCTGGTACTTTTCAGGCTAAAATTCACTAAACACAATGGGATTAAAAGTGTATCTTTAAATACATGTATTGAATTTTGATCGACAGTGCAGGGGCGAATAGGTTATTTCAAAGGGAGACGAGTTGGTATTTCTAACTCTAGCAAAACAGTGAGTTAATGTCTCAGCCATTTTGCCTGGCATTTCCGTGCAAACACCACACAGTAAAATAGATAAAGAAAAGCCAAGATATTGATGCTGTCACTTTTTTTTTTTTTCCCTCAGGAAAATGGTAGTTTATGTAGTTAATGTTCAGCAAATTTACAAGCAGCTAACAGAGTCTTAGAATGAGAACTGCTGGGCAAACATAATAATATGTAGTGCTACCAGCATTACTTAAAGTATGCCACAGTGACATTTTACAGTGAAAAGAAATCCCATTAGTCTGGAAATACTGTATGTGTGTTTCTTTTTGAAAGCCAAAATTTACAACACACTCAGAAGATATGTTATCTTGGAGGGTATCCACGCTGTGGTCAATATGGGCTTGTAATCCTAGGATTAAAAGAACAAAAGGGAATGTTTCCGTGTAAAATATCACTTTATATCAAAGCCATTTATTTGACCTAAATTGTATGATGTCTTTTCTCTAGCCACAAGGTTTTAATTAGCTCTCTTGGCTGCAAGGAGAATGCAAAGCCCTGCAAGGTGTGAGTCATGCAGTCTCTCCTTCTCTCCTCTTGTTTACAAGCTATTGTCACTTCCTCATTTTTAAATTGCATGCCACCTTTTCTGCTTGCTGCTTATTGGTCTGATCTCTTCTGAAACAAAATGCAATCTTGGAAAATTGGAGACTACAAGACATTAAAAACAGCATGCCTTCATGCTTGTCACTTTTATTCACAGAACTTGCTTCCAGTTGCTCGAGCTTTAAAAAGACTCAATTATCAGCTTTTCTTTCTGACTTGCTACTAATTCGAACTTTTTGGACCAGGTCTGTAGTCTTCATGTTTTTGGAAAACTTAAAAGAATAAATATATTTGTTTGTTTTTTTCTGACTCTTATCCTTCCAAAAGTAGAATTATTAATACAAAAAGGAGCAGAGTGATCCTATTATAAAATAGTAGACGTGATTGGAACTAGATGATCTTAACATCCTTTCCAACCCTAACTATTCTACGATTCTATAATTCTGTGATTTTCTGTGAACAGCTGTAGTACACAAAAACGTAGGGTTGGAAAGCTGTACTTTGGTCAGACAGATATTTGATAGGAGTAATGTCTTTCCTCTAGGGAAAATCAATTTTAATTTGGCCAAGTGATGAGGTTAAAGCTCATATCAAGGACATGCAACAGATTATAACCATTTCGCAGCCTGGTCACCCTCTCCCTGGACTCAGGGAAGGAAGTCTGAATCAGTTCTGAATCAATGGGGCTTGAATTACAATCTGTGTGTGCTTCATACAATTGAGTCTTCTGTGAGGACATCTAAAGTGACCAAGATGGCTCTCAAAGTAGCACAATTACTGTGTTGTCAGCTGGAGAGAATTAGTATGCACACTAACTAAGTGCGAGTGCACACTGAAGCCGGCTCATGTTAAGTTTCCCATCCACCAGCACCCCCAAGTCCTTCTCTGCACGGCTTTGCCCAACCTGTAGCTGTGCCTGGGATTGCTCTGTCCCAGGTGTAGGACCTTGCACTTGGCATGGTTCAACTTCGCAAAGTTGGCATCAGCCCACCTCAAAGGCGTGTCAAGGTCCCTCTGGATGGCATTCCTTCCATCCAGCGTATCAACCGAACCACACAGCTTGGTGTCATTGGCAAACTTGCTGAGGGCGCACTCAATCCCACTGTCCATGTCACTGACAAAGATGTTGAACAAGACCGGTCCCAACACCGATCCCTGAGGGACACCACTTGTTACTGTTCTTCAGCTGGACATTGAGCCATTGATCACAACTCTTTGAGTGAGGCCATCCAGCCAGTTCCTTATCCACCGAGTTCATCAAATTGATATCTCTCCAATTTAGAGACACTGTGCAGGACAGTGTTGAATGCTTTGCACAAGTCCAGGTAGATGACATCAACTGCTTTACCGCTGTCCATCAGTTCTGTAGCCCCATCATAGAAGGCCACCAAATTGGTCAGGCAGGATTTCCCCTTAGTGAAGCCATGCTGGCTGTCACCAAGCACCTTGTTGTTTTTCATGTGCCTTAGCATGCCTTCCAGGAGAATCTGCTCTTAAGTGTTAAGAGACACTTCACCCACCTTTTCTCTTATTAGCAATTATGACAGCAATGTAATGCCTGTAGTAAACAAGATTGAGAAAGAAAGCTTGGATCCCGTTAAATTAGGAGTTCTACATTGAGGCTACACTTATCCAGGGCCTTAATTAAGCAAACTAGTATAACTGCAGTGGAAAGAACAGACAAAATGGCTGAGTGTAGGAGATGGATAGGCAGGAGAGAGCTGAGGTTTATTATGGTGCACAGAGGAAACATGATCTTTGATTTATAGTTGTGCATACAGAGAGAATCATGATCCAACCAAGAACTGAGCTCAGCTTTTCATTTTTTTCCATTCAGAGCTTTAAATCCAGATCATTATTCTTCTGAATTTTTTATGGTAAATTGCTACTTTGATGGTATGATTCAACATGAATACTAGTAACATCTAAATGTAAGTTCTGTTATCAGTAAGATCAATTGCATTTAGAGTGTAGTTCTTCCTTGTGTTCTTCAAGCCTAATTTAAGCTATCTGGGAACGGTCTCAAAGTAGTCTTCCAAAAATAGTATTAAAGTTAATTTTTAAATACTGCTTTTTTTGGGACATTGTTAGGAGTTTAGGCGAGATCTGGGAGAACACCAACTTGGATTTAATACCAATGTAATATCCTCATTACAGTAATGCAAAGATTGCTTCAACAAGGCAGGATGTCAGGATTCGAGATGCCAAAATACTCAGCTGGTTGAAAACTGGGAAAGCTCCACTGGCTTCGCTGGATTACATTGATTTACATTTGCTAAGAAAAATGCCTAACAACATTTAATTAGCAATTCAAGCAGGTTAAAAGTACTTTGAAACCACTCCCTGCCCCATTTTTATGCAAGAAACAAGAGCCTTGAACTTATCGCTGCTGTAGTTGCCCAGCTGAAAAAGTTACTGTTTGATAATATAATTTAACAGATTTCTTTTTTCCCCTAGAAGAGCAAAGGGAGTGTTTATAAGAAGGTGGTGTATATACAACAACTTGAGACTTGAAAGCAGGAAAAGAGGATAAACAGGAAAATCTTTGTTAAATAGATACCACAGGTCCAATGTTCTCCTTTAAATGTCTCTCGATAAAGACATGGATTAGTATATGCCCTTTAATTTTATGAGTACCATAGTTTAAAATAAAATCGCCCACAAAACTGTCATGTAATTGTCCTTTCAACTTAAAAAGGTTCATACAGCTTTACCTGAACTCTCTGTGCAGTCAGGCATTATGAAGCTGCTTTGTCATAAATGATACGTGATTTCTATCTAGCAAATACACTTTTAGAATAATACAAAAAATAGAAAGCAGCTTAATAGATGTTTAAAATCCATGTAGTAAAATAAATATTGAAGACTTATCTGATCTCACCACCTTCATTTATCAGTTGGCATTTTGTCTTAGCAAGGGCAAGAAAGTGTACAAAGTTCAAAGTCGCATTCTCTACCTACAGTTACCTCAGCATGCAGAAAAAAATAGGTGAAGAGCTAACTGAACTACAGAGGTAAGTAAATATATAGTCCCATTTTGACAGAAGTATGTTCAGCTTCCATTTTTACATAGACCTTTCGTAGCAGAGACCCATGTCTACGTTAATTGACAGCTCTTTTAATCTAATAAACTACAGCAACCCTGCTTCTGATTTCCAGCTCCTAAAATACCTCTAGGGACAGGAGAGAGGAGGGAGGGATCCCTGTCGTACCCAGAAATGAAAACCTCAGAGTAGGACGCATGCCTTACAGCAGTGCTTGTCTGTTCCAAACTGACTGAAGAGACTACTCTTTTACATAAACACTGTATTAAAAACGTGGGTCTGTGTTAAGAGCTTTGACATGACAAACACACTGGAGCTTCACTATGACTGTTACGGGAAAAAGATGCCATCTTGTACAGTATAACCTTTTC